TGTTTTTGGAGTAATTCTAATGCTTTTTTTCTCATAATATGCAAGGTACACAAAAAGGGAGAATTCCGACAGCTGGAAATATGGACCTGGAAAAGCTACGTTAGGCTACCTATTCTGCACAACTCCAAACAAGCTGAAACTTCACGAAGAATTTTTATGGAATATATGAAGACCATTGGAGCAAATAAGTACCACAGGGGGCCCACCTGGGCGCGCCAGGGAGCCCAGGCTTGCCCTGGTGGGTTGTGCTCACCCAGGCCCACCTCTGGTGCCCATCTTCTGGTATATAGGTCATTTTTACCTAGAAAAAAAGGAGAGGACTTTCGGGACGGAGCGCCGCCATCTCGAGGGGAACTTGGCCAGGAGCACTTTTGCCCTCCGGCGGAGCGATTCCACCGGGGGAACTTCCCTCCCGGAGGGGGAAATAATCATCATCATTATCACCAACAACTCTCCCATCTCGGGGAGGGCAATCTCGATCAACATCTTCAATAGCACCATCTCATCTCAAACCCTAGTTCATCTCTTGTGTTCAATCTTGTTACCGGAACTATAGATTGGTGCTTGTGGGTGACTAGTAGTGTTGATTACATCTTGTAATTGATTACTATATGGTTTATTTGGTGAAAGATTATATTTTCAGATCCAATATGCTATTTAATACCCCTCTGATATTGAGTATGATTATCATTTGTGAGTAGTTACTTTTGTTCTTGAGGACACAGGAGAAATCATGTTGCAAGTAATCATGTGAACTTGATATGTGTTTGATATTTTGATAATATCTATGTTGTGATTCCCTTAGTGGTGTTATGTGAACGTTGACTACATGAAACTTCACCATATTTGGGCCTATGGAAATGCATTGTGGAGTAGTTATTAGATAATGGGTTATGAGACTGATAGAAGCTTAAACCTTAGTTTATGCGCTCTTCCGTAACGGACCGATTGGATCCAAAAATTTAATGCTATGGTTAGAATTTATTCTTAATACTTTTCTCATAGTTGCGGATGCTTGCGAGAGGGTTAATCATAAGTAGGAGGTTTGTTTAAGTAGAACAACACCTAAGCACCGATCCACCCACATATCAAATTATCAAAGTAGCGAACACGAATCGAATCACCATGATGAAAGTGACTAGATGAAATTCTCGTGTATCCTCAAGAACGCTTTGCCTATTATAAGAATCTATTTTGGCCTGTCCTTTGCCTCAAAAGGATTGGGCTACCTTGTTGTACTTTTGCTACTAATATCGTTACTTGCTCGTTACAAATTTTCTTGCTACTTGATGAAGTGCCTCCCTCGGTGGCAAACACGATTACAAGTCTATCGGGAGGTAGATGATATTGTTTATATTGACAGTGTTTGTTGGTTTATAACTATCTTATTGGGGAAACCCTGGACATGTGGATCTGTGTGGCAATGCGATTTCAAGTGAGAAAAATGATGCAACTTTCAGTGTGTGCAACTACGGAACATATCTAGAATTTTTTACAGTAAAATGCTTGCGCAACTAGCTGAAATTGTTTCGGGCGAGTCTCCCACTAAAAGACATGGTTTTTTTTTCTGCGGGAACACAAAAAGACATTGTTTCCTATTTAAGCGGGACAGGAGTGCCTATGCTCTAAAACAATTGCTAGATAACGCGGGCTTAAGCTACAGTCACTCCTTAGGAGTTTTAAGGCAGAACAAATCACCAATTGGTCAGCGAAAATGTGAAATTTCATCATCGCATCTATGGTGTTTGTGACCACATTTCAGATGTCAGGCGTTCTATGATTCCAGGTGTCACATTGGTCTAGACTGATAAGAACGACACGACTAGTCAACTTGGCCCCCGCCTGATTAAGATATGCATATGGATGTAGATTCATTGATGCGAGGCATCAGGTGTTTCAACAGCCTTTAAGTTAAGCTCCTGTGACATTTTGGTATGGCTAAACTAATTATTATCTTCCCCAAAAAAATGGCTACATTAACTAAGTGGTTGGTGGGAACTTTGTCTCATTTCAGTAACCTACCAAGTGTAGCTTTATACCACAATCAAAAAATTGTGTGTGCCTGGATCAGCTAAATAAGTTTATTCTTAGAGCATCTATTCAACTTTAAAGGCATATGGCTGCAACAGTTTGTTGCGTTTATGGTGTCATTTGTTTCTCTCATGTACCAGGCGGTATCCTCAAAATCAATGGGTTCTTTCTTAGTTTCTTTTTGCCTACTGTGATTAGCGTCGTTTGATGAAAAAAAGCCCATTGTTAAGGCGCTTGCTCTCAAGGTCTCGATATCTGTCCGCTCCTTTTAGTTTATGGTTGGTACACAAGTAAGCATGTGACGGCACGAATACCCTGACTGACATCGTTTGTGTTACCATTAAACAACTAAGGCTCGAGTAGCCAGATTTGTAAGAGAGAACTCCCGTGGAGGTCCCCAAAACTAATGTAGAAGATAAAGATAACCAAGTGACCTGCCACGCCGGATTTAACCTATTGCACATGGACGATAGCAGATAGGAATCCCTGGCATAGAGGAAGGTGGCAACTTAGAACCTTTGGACCAGATTAATTAAACAACAGAAAGGCTAAAATTTGACATCAAATTTTTAGACATTGCAAATCAAAAGCTTTTTATGGCAATTTATACTGGCATGAGGATAGCAATTGTAGTTTGCAAGCACGGCGATTTTTCTGGCAAAATATGAACTGGGGCACATTTGTCATGCTCGCCAACTAAGCTTGCCATCCTCGACAAACACAGCTTGCCATGAAAAACTTATGATTTGTCATGCCTAAAAAATCTGATGTTCGCTGGATATCCGGGTCCATTAAACAATGGCTAGTGCCCATCTGAGTAACCCATCTCCCTCCCCAAGAGAGAAACCACCAAGCTGTTGTACCCGGCCCGAGACACCATCATAACCAAGGCTAGTGATCGCCAAATTTCCTAGCTCATCTTTTTAGACAAACAGGCGCGGGGCTCTGCTTTTCACCAAAGCGAAGAGTAACCAAAGTTGGGGCTGTTATAGAGGAGCTCAATCTCATACAGAGAAAAGACAACACGTACGGCAGAAACTCTCGCTACGGGAGCTCAATCTCGCAATATAATGCAGAGCATGTACGAGAAAAAAAGAACATTTTTGTTAAGAAACATATAATGCAAAAATCCAGTTAAAATTTTATTTTCTTTAAAGGAAAAAATACTCTGTTGATTTGATTTCATATTCGGGATGACAGTCAGAATGATGCTGCACTCGCACCATAGTCGCAAAACCCCACCTAAACCCCTATAAAATCACAGTCCACGCCCCCCGGCCATGGCGACACTTCTCCCCGCCTGCTCCCCCTCCTCCCCCGCATCCGCCTCCGCCGCGCCGCCCGGCATGTCCTCCTCCTCCCCAGCTTCTCCGGCGCCGGCTGACGCCGCGGGAGGGGAGAAGCCCACGGCGGCGCCGTACGGGTCCTGGAGGTCGCCCATCACCGCAGACGTCGTCTCGGGCGCCGACAAGCGCCTCGGTGGCATCGCCCTTGCCGGAGACGGCCGCCTACTATGGATCGAGGGACGCCCCGAGGAGAAAGGGTGAGTAAACCACTGCGTCAATGCTTACAACTGCTTATTGATTCACCGCAAGGCATGAGGAGACGCTCCCAGATTTGTACCTGGTAGCTTCGAATTGCTAAACATTGTAGGGGCATATCTGGAGTTGTTTCTATAGCTGCTTTTTGGGGCATCTAACTGCATTGGGCACGCACCACTGTACCAAAGGACTGACGGGTTCTATCACCTCAAGTTGATATATATATATATATATATATATATATATATAGCACTGAATATAAGGAAAATGTTATTTGGAGGTGGGGCGTTATGGTCTCGGCATAAATATATATAGCACGTATTTTGTTTACCATAAGAGTAAAGATCTACTTCCTCCGTTCCTAAATACTATAAGTCTTTTTAGGGATTCTAATATGAACTACATACGGATGTATATAGAGATATTTTAGAATGTAGATTCACTCATTTTGCTTCGTATGTAGTCTGCTTTGGAATCTCTAAAAATACTTATATTTAGGAAGGCAGGGAGAGTACCTCATATCCTCTAGTCTCTATCCTCTATAGAAAGATTCTCTCAGTTCTGAGAAGAAGAACGACATCCCAAACGACACAGATTCCACGACTTATAGCTGGAAGTCTGGAACTGTTTTTCTCTGTATAAACAAACTATAAAAGTGCATGCACAGGAGTATGTGAGTGATGAAATTTGACATATGACAGATGTATTTGCTTGATGAATGTTAAGTCAACATGCTTGAGAACATTCAAGCGTGCAAGCTATGGCCCCAGCGTATTCGTCGTGGCAAATGAAGCCTCTTTCTCCAAGTCACTGCTCTTTCTTGTTGTAAGCTGCTGGTTCTATCACCTCAAGTGCAC